GGAGGAGGAGGGAGGAGGAGGAAGGAGGAGGGAGGAGGGAGGAGGAGGGCCACCACATTCCAGCCTGGGTGATAGAGATCCCAACTCAAAAAAAAATGTGTGTGTGGCAGGGGGAGGTGGCAGGGACTGTAGTGGTGGTGTGATGCAAGAAGATGCTAGTGATAACTAGGAGCACAATTATACAGGGTCTTGTAGGTCTTTTAGTAAATTTGGACCTCAGCCCAAGAACAACGGGAAGTCATTAAAGGGTCTAAGCAATGGTGTAGCACGATTCAGTTCCCATTTTTGAAAACACACTCAGGCTGCAGGGCACAGAATAGACAGCAAGTGCCTAAAACTGGAGACACAGAAACCGTTAAGAGACAGCTTTGGTCATCTGAAATGTTGGAGGTCTTAATTAGAAGGCAGTACAACAGTAATTAAGAGTAAGGCCTCTGAAGTCATTTTCCTACATTCAAATCCTAATTTTCCACTTACCAGATATACAACTTTGAGCAAGTTGCTACCTGCTCTGATTTGAGCATGTCTCCCCAAAAACATGTGTTGGAAACTCAATGCCCAATGTAAGATTGTTGAGAGGTGAGTCACTCTCAGGACTGGATCAATGCTGATTATAAAAGAGCTTGAGGCTTTGAGTTCCATTTCTTGCCCACTCTCGCCCTCTCTCGCCCTTCTGCCTTCCACCATGGTATGACACCGAACAAAGGCCCCCACCAGACACTTGCGTCTTCCTCTTGGTCTTCCATCTCCAGCATTGTTTGTCGTATTGTTACAGCAGCACAAATGAACTTAAGACTCTCTAAATCTGTTTTCTCTTCTAATAATCCAGAGATGAAAATCCTCACAGGATTCTTGCCAAAGAATAAAAAATATATATATAGCAGCAGTTAGCCTGGCGCAGAATAAGAATGCAAATATTTACTATCAATATTAATGCAATGTTAATGGGATGGAGAAAGAAAAATATAACTGGAAGTTTAGGAGACAGAAATTGACAGTCTGAAGATAGGGAAAGGGATAAGTTTACAAACTCTAGTTTCTGGCTTGGATAGTAGCGCCATTTGATGACATGAAAAATAAAAAAGGTTTGAAGGAAAAGATGAGTGTTCATTCTTGAATATACTGACTGCGAGAGACATGCTAATAGGCAGGTGAATATATAGCTCTGAAGTGAAGAAAAAAACAGATCAAGGTTGGAGATTTGAGATTCAGAAAGATGGTAATTAAGTCCATGGGTTTTCAGTGCCTAGAGAAAGAAATGCAGAGTGAAGAAATGATGACACTAAGTATAACCTAAGGAGCACTAACATTTATAGGAGACTGAGAGCCAGAGGCCAGTGAAGAGAATAACAGTGTGATATCAAAAGTCAAAAGAAAACTAGTGTTGGCTGGGCTCGGTGGCTTAGCCTGTAATCCCAGCACTTTGGGAGGCCAAGGTGAGTGGATTGCCTGAGCCCCCAGGTTAGAGACCAGCCCAGACAACTTGGTGAGACCTTGTCTCTACAATAAAAAATCGAAAATTAGCCAGACATGGTAGCGTGTGCCTGTAGTTCCAGCTACTTGGAAGGCTGAGGTGGAAGGATCACCAGAGCCCTGCAGGTTGACGCTGGTGTGACTGTGAGTGTGCCACTGCACTCCAGCCTGGGCAACAGAGTGAGACTCCAACTCAAAAGAAAAAAAAGAAAAAGAAAACAAGTGTTTCAAAGAAGAGGGAGTACTCAACAATGTCAATACTGCCAAACAAATTAAGAACTGAGATTTTTTCACTGGATTTAGCAAGAGTTATTTATTCACATAATAAATATGTGTCAAGCACTGTGCTAGACCCTTGAGATACAAATGTGAATAAGAAAAATAAGATCCTCGTACACCCAGACTTTATGTTTTGAAGATGGAAAGATAAATGAAACAACAGAAAAAATACAAATTGTGATAAAGGCAGTAAACAGAGATAGAGTGACATGATAAAGAATAATAGGCAGAAGCCAGCTCTAAATAGGGAGTTTAAGAAGGCATCTCTATGACCAGGAAAAAAAAAATTTTTAAGCTAAAACTTAAGGCAGGAAAGGGCTTAGTATGGTCAGAGATTGAAAGGGGGCCCATATGGCTAAAGCACAACAATGGAGAAGGGTTGGAGAGACAGATCATGCTTAGGAGAGAAAAGTTTGGATAAAGACCAGTTGAGTATTTGGAAATAAGGAAGTCAAAATCACTCTAATAGTAGTTAATAGTTTGGCTTTCCTCATTTATACTAGTATTAATAATCAGAAATAGGCCATTTTACCACTGTGTCAACCAAACTGTTTATTACAACAATACCAAAATAAACTTTTCTATTTTAGAGGATACTACAAGGTTACAACCATGTTACCTATTGCATTAATATTCCTAATCCCCTTTTTAACCTTCCTCCGTATTTCTTTCAACAATATTTCTCATAATAGCTGCTTGATTCTATCATTCAATTATACTTCTCTGAGATACTCCTTTATAAGCAATATACATCAGAATTTGAATGTTTTATAACAACATGACTCTGCTAGGTGTTATTACTAAAATGTACAGGGCCAATAACATACCAAAAACTGATTATTTTAAAAAACTATATTCTATAGTTTGTTTCCTATTTCCTTATTCTATGTATTTATATACATACATATGATAAAGAAAAGATAACGCAGAAAACTTTGGCCTTTATTCTGAGCAGCTGAATTATATTCATATTATTTTTTAAATTTCCTTATCTGCAAGAGGACAATTTACAGCCCTTCCATATTTCAAAAAGGTGTCAACAACAACAAATGCTACCATTATCAGGCAGTGAGCTAGGCATATTATATGAACTATTTTTAATTATTTCAATACCCCTGAAAAACAAGTATTTCTCTTCCCATTTTCTAAATGAGAAGACAATCTCAGAGAGGTTAGGTGACTTGCACAAGACTGTAGACCTGGAACTTAAGCCTAATTCCTTAGGCTCAAAACTCTAGGTACACTATACTAAGATGCCTCAGACTATTAACCAATTGAATTCCTTAAAAATACCTATAAAATATGGGATATTATATCATCAAAACAATTTTTAAATGATAAAAGTTTTATTCTATTTTTAATAAATTGTGTGCAACTTAGAAACATCAGTCAAACACACCATTCTTATAAAGGTATATTCCTTCTTTTTGCATAATAACTTGATTTCAATTTTTTTTAATGTTGGAGAAGTAAAAGGAAACTATAAAATAATACTGTATTTAAAATCCAAGAATTGTCATTCTGAGTCAAAATTATTTTTCCAGTTAATCCTTAATACAAATGTTAAATTCAATGAACTACCAGCAACTAACTGCCTAATATCATGAAACTTATTTGTTTCTCAAAGTTAAAAAGTACAAAAGGCCTAAGATGCTCATGAGTCAGAAAAACTTAACCTCTCATTAGAACTTTCAAATGTCACTATTTCTCTGAACTTGAAAGATAACAAGTCTGAATAAAACCATCATAATTTGCTGTAAGCAGAATCTATGGATTTATTGTACTGGGACCTGTTCCTACTAATATTTTTCAAGTAATCAAGAAATCTACCAAGATACTGTTTGAAGAAATCTAGATAGTTAACGAAAAGAAACTGCTGCTGGATAATCTTTATTTTCCTTAACAAAATATATACAAGAGCACAAAATTCATTTATATATCATCATTTTACAAGTATAAATAATGTTTAGAATTCAAGTACAGTCAAGTGCAGAAATATTTCCTATATGTTAATGTGTAAACATAAACTAATTATGTACATCATGTGCCTTTGGCCCAGCTACAAAATAAAAAACATCAAAAAGAAACACCGCCCTTGACTGTTAAACTGCATTCTTATTGAGAATACGTACCAATGCCTATGTAGTTACAGTTAAAACTTTCATACCACTTAACGTAAACACCTAAATAGACATTTCCCCCTGCTGGCAGATATCTCAAGAGCTAAATTTTATCCATTTTTAATAATGAAGTATTCAAAATCTTAATTGAGTTTCATTCCTTAAAACAAACATTATTAGAGAATTTACTCTTAATCAAAATTCTTCCTATGTCAAAATGGGTATTATTTACAGGAAAACAAGGATCCCATCATGTGTGTTTACTTTTAGAATGGACAAAAAAATATCTAGAAGATGTCTAAACAGTGTTGTACATTTAAAAAGATCTTCCTTCACTGATATCACTTGCTTTTAATTTTAACACCTAGTAGATGTAACTTTGACATGTTCAAATAGCTAGTCTAAATTCAAATGTTACACAAGCATATCGTTAGAGGGGGAAAAATGTACCACCTAAAAAGCAATAACTGACATCAAGAAGACTATAAATATCCAGTTGAAGGCACATGGAAGCATTTACTACTCTGAAGATTCTCCATTGAGTTCAGGATTAGAAATAGAATCAGCTCTGGGAACCATGGATTTGGCTTCAGTCATTGAGGTTTCCTCAATATCGGTTTCTTCTTGTTTCTCCTCTAGTTCCTCTAAGCCAGATGCTTTTTCAATCACTTCATCTGTCTCCTCTGTAGTTGGTATTTTGTCGTCTGTCTGCTCTGTACTATTATCAAGAACATCTTGTTCTTCTAAAGATTCTAAAAATATAAAGATTCGAGACTTTAGGAATACTCAAATGTTAAAACTGCTAAATAGGCAAGCAAAAGATGCACACACACACACACAGACGAACTAAGAAACAGTAGAATTACCTAACATTATTTATAAAATCTTTAAAAATAAGTACCTAACTCCCTACAGCATACCACTTATGAATTAGCATGACTGAAAAAAATAATTTGGAGGAAACAAGCCCATAAACATACTTTTTTCTAATGCCCCATATTTTCATAAAAAGTAAGTTCCTAAAGACACATTTAAAAGTTGAATGTCCAAAATTCAAATTCCCAGCTGAATTATGTGCTATAAAACAGACCAGCAAAAAAAGCAAATGTTTGAAGCTCCAGATTATGCTTCCTTGAAGCAATTGTTTCCCTTGTTTTTAGGCAACCCCGTGAGCAATGTGTGAGAGAGAGAGAGAGTGTGTGTGTGTGTGAGTGTGTGTGTGTGTGCGTGTGTGTGTGTGTGTGTGTGTGTGTGTGTGTGTAGGCAGTGCTTTCCCATACTGATATACATCTCTATTATCCAAGGACTGGGGAAGTTAGACTCCATCTTTTCCAAAGTCATGACAGTCTCCCTGCTCCCTGTGTCTCTCTTCATCCCTCTGCAAGACAATCTTCTGTATTTAGCCTCTGGGTCAAAATATGTGACATACCTAGCATGTTTTGGAGAGAAAGGGAAGGCTCTTTCCCCTATCTCCATAACAGAAGATAAGTAAGAGACCTACCTGAAAATTTACTCCCTTTAAGCACTATTTTTGAGTATTATTAAATTCAAATCTTCTAATAATAATAATGATAATTTTATTAAATAAACTGCCTTTAATTGTTTAAAATTTAAAGAACAGGATGGAAGTGTGAATGATAGTATGGAAAATGGAGTAGACAAGCTTTGGGCCATCCAATTTCTAAGTCAAAGATAAAAATCTAGCTTTGAGGTATTTCTTTTATTTTTTTTATAATAAATAAAAAATCTCTTGCAGAAAGAATTATGGCTAAACCATATCAGCCAAATAAAAAAGTAGATTTTTCTACTTTCATAGAAGATCCCTTATGATATATTACAAATGTTACTGATTCAAAGACTCTGGAAGGAAGGCCAGCCTACTTAGTAAAAAGTTGTAGTTAAGTTCCTTGTATAATATAGGCCGAGTTTTGCTAAATAAATAGAAGAAATTAATCAATAGTTTTGCAAATAAATTATGTGTTAACACATGCACACACGTAACATGGAAGTCTTAGAAATTCATGGTTTTACTACCAGTTTTAATAAATATCTATATCTCACACACTCTATGCCCAGACTTTAAAAATATTTAGAAAGAATTATTTCCTTAAACAGTTACCTTGAACTCTGGTTTACAGAATTAATTATAACCACCTTCTTACTTTTCATATGTAGAATAAAGGCCCAAATTCCACACAGGGACATCCAATTTAATGAGGTTTTACTGTATAAAAATTTATAAGATCACAAAAAGTAGTGAGAAATGTTTAAAGTATATTTGCGCCAAATTTCATAAAAATTCTACTTGTATCTTAATCTGGAACTTAAAAGGGCATTCCTGCTATTTTACAAAATTTTAGAAAAACAGTTGTCACTGGAGTTTTGTCATTTAAGTGTTCCTGGGCAGAAAAGAAAAGCAAAAAGGGCAAATGAAACTATGGACATATACAAATCATTTCTGCTACAAGGGCTAGCAAGTTCTTCCATGGAAAACTTCAGAAGTCACCAACCATTTGTAATTCTACCCTCACAGAATTTATCCAGGGTGGAATTTTAAGAGTCATGGTTTTCCATAAGTCTCTGGCCATAGAGTAATACTGTCTTGGCAAGAACTTTATAATTTCTTGTAGTTTAGTAAGCCTTCCGAAGCAAATCAATAAAGCCACAAGAAATGAAAAAACAAAAAACTCAGAATCCAGAACTCAACTCACCAATAACCACGTTTAAGTGAACACAGGCCCACATAGTTTGTCATATTGTCTGACAGACTGCCTCAATACTGTACTGAAACAGGACAGGTATCAAAATTCAAGGCTTATCATAGTAAATTTTTGTGATGTTACCATTTTCAAAAATAGATACTTTTCTAGTCAAAGCAAATTTAATCTAAAAATTCTGGAGTCATAAAGAAGTAGTTAACACAAAGACAAGAACTACAATACTATAATTTTTAAATGTCTATAATATAATAAATATCATGAGCTGTCATAATTAGAAAGCAACATGATACACAAAGTTTTCTAATCAATATTGTATTTCAGAGAATATGTGGAAAATTGAAAAGTTGGTGAAATGATGGGTGAAGCTCAAAGAGAATCAAAGGGTCTAATAATGACTACAGGGAGGGTCAAAAAATGTATACACATTTTAAGTGTGATGTACACTTAAAAGACAGCACTCATCAAATGAATGCCAGTTTCACCATGCGGCAGACAGGACAGTCAAAGAAAATGGCAGAAACACAGTTAAGCAAATATCATACTACACATTGCTACTGTAATTTAATCCAACTTCAAAAAGTAATACATACATTTCTTAAAATATGTATACATTCTTTGGCACCCCCTGAATTTTTCTTCTCCGGAAGAAGAAACACAACAAAAATGTAGCAGTAACACAACAAAAACGGATATGTGATATGATGCCTATAAGTGCAAAAATGGATATGTGATATGATGCCTATAAGTTAGTCTAAATAAGATAAGTACTTGATGTTTGGATGCCAATGCCATTCTGTGAGAAGTCATCAAAAAAGATCGAAATAACTACATGTAAAAGATTAACAGAGAATTACATAACAATTTAATAGCTAAACCACAAAGCATTATGATAAGATGATTTAATGTATTGCAAAAGTGCCTATTTTATTTCTATGAGAACATCATTTGTCTATTCTAATAAAAACAATAAATTTTGTCTGTGAAGTTGTAGTTTAAAATAGCATGGTGGTATAAAACACATTTCAGATGTTACTATTTGGACAGAAAATGCTGCAAGAAAAACCAGGCTTTGTGCTTGCATTATTTAAACAGCTCTACTTTTCCCTCTATGGCCCAGTTTAAGACTAAGATATGAAACAATTACCTGAATGACATAATTCCAGCTATAAGAAAAAAATTAAAACCGACTTTGGCATCTATAGAAAAAAACAATATACCACATGTGATAAAACAAAATGAATCATGGAATTTATTTCTTTTGCCGCTACTGCCACCTGCTCCGCCCCCAGCTCAATATTCTTGAGAAAGAAGCTTTTCTACCAAATAGAAACAGTTTGCTTCCAGTTGCTTGGGCAAAGTCTCAACTCAGTTAGAAAACTCCAACTCATAAAACTGAGTATAACTGTATAATGAATACCACTGCATCACCTATAAACCACACACATGCAAAATCATGTAAGAACATTATCTTACTTTTAGGTTTTTATTCTAGTTATTGAAAGAGCAATTTTTTAAGAAAATTAAAGAATAATCTAACAAAACAACTTCATATATTTTTGCCTTGCTACCACATCAGTGCTCAGCGGCTATAAACGTATCCCAAAAAATTGTTAAATTGACAGTATGTCTTTGAACTCATAGGTATTAAACAAGGCAGTTTTTACAAGATTGTCTTGCATTAAGGAAAATGGTCAACTTATATTTAAGAAACTCGGGTATGAATTTCATTCCAGCTCAACCCAATGACTCAGTAAGTAAAATTCAATTAAATTATAACCACCTATGAGAAAACAGCTAGTGTTAAATGCAAAGAATACTGCTTAATTATTGACCACTGGTGAACAAATCAATTAGAAAAGTTAAAAGTTTATTAAGCAATGATCTAAAACTAAACTATTAGGTGAAGGTGTTTTAGAAAAGGGAATAAGAAGGTCATAGAATCTCTATGTCTAAAACAAACACGCATAAACATACTATAAGCAAGTTTATATCCTGAGTTAGGCTGCACATAATTAAATAGTATAAACAAAGGTATAAGCGTTTTGACTCTGATAAGTACATGGGATTCAATATAATTTACATTATGAAACAGTTGTCTCCTAGAGCATCATATCAAAAATATTGAAAACAGAATTTTCCCTGGTTCGGTATAACCTAATGGTAACAGTATCGTGTATACAAGAAAGAAGAAAAGACAGAAATCATACAATCATAATAAATTTTACTTTACATAAATTTTACTTGCTATTTTTGATAGTACTAATTAGATGCCATGAGTTTTATTATTAGCAAGTTATTTCCAGTTGAATAAAAACTATTTTCTACTAAAATAATTACACAAGACCCAGATAAACACAAATGAGCAATAAAAACATGATATTAACATGCTAGCCAAAAAAAATCACTTTACTAGAATACTAACAATGTAGAAACCTAGTATTTTAATAATTACCACATATGACAAGAATGATATATATCAGGTATTTTTAGAAAGCATGTATTTTTAAAAGACAAAACTGATAAATCACTTTAATGTGACTTAGTAGAGATTCAAGGATTACTGTATTACTTGTTTAATCAAAACAAGTATGCTCTCAGAAAAATAGACAATCCATAACCCTAATTTCTTGTTTCTCTAATAATTTATTACCAAAGTACCTCGATACAAAGTTCTAGAAAAAAATTCTAGGCATTCAAATAAGCAATTAATGGGATAAATTTCTTCTTGGTCTCCTTCTTTGATGAAAACTTTCAAAGATTCCATGTTTTCTAAAGAGTTGTCCAGAAATGTTAAAAAGCCTCGTGCCTCATCCTAAATGCAAGATCTTCCAATACTTAATTTCAAGTCTTACATCACAGATTGAAAAAAAAGTTTCTTCTATTAATTAAAGAGTATTCATATAAGTGGTAGTTACTCATATTTGTTTAAAGAAAAGTTCAGATGGAAGAAAGTTACCTTTTGGTTCCATCTGTAAATTCAATAACCTAATTTCTACAGTTCCTGTTACTATCAAGGAGCTATTTCTAAACTTTCAATAACACGAAAATTAAAGCAGAATAGTTTTTTTTTCAAAGAATTAAAAATGAGAAATCAAAAACCCTAGTCACATTAACTGTTAACAAAGAGTAGATGATTGAGATGATATGGTCTTACTTAATAGTTCAATTTAATCTTAAGCCACCGGTGTTCAAAACAAACACAGCTTCATCTGTTCATCAGGAATACTTGCAGTTGTTTACTAAAGGAATCCAACTTGGAATTGATATCTGAGTGTCACAATGTTGAGACAGAAGTCTTGAGAAAAGTTCTAGTCTTCTGGAAAGCCAAAGAAGAAAAAGATGCTCATGGCCACTTTGATGAATCCAAAGTATGAAAGTTACTGTTCTAGAAAACTAACTTAACCAAATGGAACTGTTGCTTCAGATTTTAGAACTATGGAGTTATCAGACCCTGCCTCAACTTTTGTCTTCACCTATTAACATTACCTTATTAGGGTTGAGTTTGAGCCAGTTAGACTTCATTCCGGAGATTTCAGACAGAAAATGAGACATCTGGGGTATTGTTCCTCCTAGATTAGATGAGAAGGAAAGGTATAGCTGGGTGCTGTTTGCTCACTATCCATCTTGACCTTAGCGGAAGATATAAAGCATGGACTCAATATCAATAATTTTATTTTCTTGGCTGTTTTTTCTGTTCTTTTTTTTAATTTTTTTATTTTTTGGTCCCAACTATTGGCTTTCAAATATTCACTTTAGTTTTTCATAAGCAAGGCAACTCATGGAAAGAACTTCAATTTTTCCTCTAGGCATCTTCAGTATGAAATCCTTTAATTTTCAGTTCCAAGGGGCTGCAATGGCAAGGCAGATGGTTTACATGTGACAGCATGCAGGTCAGAGCATGACTTAAGCACACAAAAAAAAAAAAAAAAAAATTCTGACATTCTGTTTGGAGTTGATGCAGCAGACTTGGAGAAGATGAATGCATTGATTCAGTGTTGCAGGTATGCAGGCCTCTGTCATAGCTGTCTGTATTCAAATTCATTTTGATATTTGTTAGTAAGCCAAAAGCCAAGCCCAGTTCAACACACGCATTTTAGGTCCACGCTTCAAAATTTTTTTTTAAAAAAAGATACTCAAATCTCATACTAAATTTTTGATATCTGAAAATTCACCGCCTCATAAAATATTTTCAGTTAATCTTTGCAATATTCAATGTTTTTATGAAGAAATCAAATATGTATAAATGATAACTCCTAGAAATTGAAAGAATGAATTCTGACTGGTAAATAAATTATGTGAACTAAACTTCCAATATACATTTTTTTCCATACCAGACATAGCACCAAACTATCACGACCAGTTTCATAATTTTGGCAATCTTCATAATTCAGAGCTGATTAATAAAGAGCTCCTGACCAAACAACTACTATAGAAAGAAATAGTTGGCAATAGCTGGATCTCCCATCTCATCTTTTCCATTTTTTTCATGAAACTTTCCCAAGAATTCCTAAAACAGAATTGCAAGATTAATTCTAAAACCCAATAAATTATCTTTCTCTAAGATAAAATTGATTTTACATCAAAGGTAATGTTAATCTCGGGAACTTCTATAAATTGTTTCAATGAAATACCAGTCCTATGGACACAGTCATCCAAAAAATGCAAAGATGACATTACAATTTCAGAGTTTCCTCCTTTCTGGTAATTTCTACCAATTCAAGTGGTAGATACAGACCTATTTTATCAATATTAATCACAAATCCTATAAGTATTTTATCCTTTGAAAAGTTGTTCCAAAATTTCAATAACCTACTTCATTCAGATAAATTGAAAAAATGATCCCATGAAAACATTACTAATCAAATTTCTCAACAGTTTTTAGAAGAGGTCACTTCATAGACAATGTTTACCTAGCTCGTGCTAGATGTTGCTAATCACAATATAACCTGCACATCGAAAGTGAAACACATCACACCAATCACACAGAAGGCTATAGTATCAGAGCAATAGCTGATTTATTCATGCTGCAAAATCTGATAATCTTTCTTATCTAGAAGCATTCTGCTTTCATTATTGTTAAATAGCACACATTTAATAGAGACAAAACTGTTTAACATATTCATACCTTCACTAAACTGCTTCTCGGAGGAAAGCATACTTCCTGATGGCAAGGGACCGACTGAGCTTGAGGCTTCCACTGTCTGCCTCTTCTCAAAACTAAACTCTGGAAGTCTTGGAGCCTGGGGTCTGGTTTTTCTTGCAGGATTCAAGAAAAAACAGTAGGCACATCGAAAAGCTATGGAAAATTTTTTTAAATAAGCAAAATCACAAATCAAAGTTCAAGAACAAATCAGATAACTCACAAGATTACTTTTTCAAATATTATAGAACCCTTCCAAAGTTATTTATCCTTTGTGAAACTCACATGTTATTTTAATAATATTATGGTAGGTATTCTAACCAAAGTTAATTTTAAAACATGTATCCTAATTATTACTAGAATTAGAATTTTAATTTTAAAACAGAAAAGGTACAATAAGTTACACAGCAGGCTAACTATGTGATATATGACAGGTTGATAGCAAAACAATATTAACAAGGATTAAAATAAATTAGTGAAATTACATTTCTAGTCACTGGAATTATTAGGTATTTTAAAATATAGAACTTTATTCATTTGCCCAAGAAAATGTAGTATGTCATATTTCAGAAGCATAATTAATTTGCCACAGTAGTTTTTAATAGCGCCTATACATTAGAATCATCTGCAGAGCTTTAAAAAACAACGTTGATGCTTGGACGCCACACTAGATCAATTAAAGCAGACTCTTTGTAGATGGGTCTTGAGTATCACAATTTTTTTAAGCTCTGCAGGTGAATCTGAGGCACAGTGAATTTGAGAATTGGCCTAGAGGCTGTAATTATATGAGGAAGAAACCTGATGTGCCTTCCTGCTTTACTCTGTATACTAATATAAGGATAATATGACCAACCAACGTATATAGCAAGATTGTCCAAAATAAAATGACACAGCATGGGAATTGACACAGAATAAAATATTTAAGAGTAAAATATTTAAATCTAACTGCCCAATAATTCTTACCAATGTATTCAAATTCTTCCTTCAAAGCCATGCCATTATGGGAAAAACACTGCTGACATATAAGGGCATACCTATACCATAAGAAAAAATGAACAGACCAGTTACAAATGCAGACAAAGCTCACGAGAGAGGCTATTTTAGCTATCATGGCTTATTTACATTTTAACATAGCATTAAGTCGTAACAGATTAGATGTTGCTTAGTAAACCATAAACAATACTCTTTAAACAAAAGTGAAAATTAACCAAAGTCAAAATCCTGACCATTTAAAAATATAATATAGACATCAAATTAAAAGTAAACTAAGCAACAGTTAAATGAATATGTCCTTATTAAGTTAGCAGAAACATATTTCATAACAGAAAACTTAAATTTTAATGTTTTCCAGTGTATTGTCCTGGGGATGAAAGTTCCCAAATATGGTCAGATAAGACTGGAAAAGATACAACCTTCTTGGAGATTCACAATGAATATTATTAAAACCTCTGAGATGAAATGCATTTAATTTTTCTTAGTCTTGCCAAAGGTTAATTCCTATAAACCATGATTCCTATACCTTTCCCAGGTACACTTAAACATCTTCCTCATTTTCCGTTTATATGCTTTCTCTGTTCTCTACTTATGTATTCCACAATTGATTGACTCTATCAAATGTCATTCTATCTGTTTTAAATAACATGCAATGTATTATATTAATATTAAATTCCGGTCCTTTTATTAAAATAATATTAACTAGTAAAGTTATCAGACATCTACTCTACTATCCTATGAACTTATAAAAGTCTATACTTTGACAATTGCTCTGCACATATCATACCTATCTTCCTAAAGTTATTACAAGAATCAAATAAGAATAATTGCAAAGCATTTTTGAGAACTTTTAAATATTAAATACATGCAAATTGTTCTTAGCATTATTAAAAGCCATTACCTCACCAAGTCCAGTACTTACACCTATAAAACTTCATTTCTTACAATTTACCAGGTTTTCACTGTTTTTTGCTCTTCAAGTTTAAAAGTGTCAATGAAACAATTCAATTTATCTAAAAGTAATCTTCTAGCAGAGTTAATATTTTTTCCAAATGGGTTTTATCTAGACTACTGTGTTCAAATTCCTACTGTAAAACAACTAAATATGTGCTATTTTGCAGCGCTATAAAACACTCCATATTATGCCACAAAATCAGGAAGTAGGTGCCACAAAACTACAGAACACCTAGTGCATACACACACATACACACACACACACACACACACACACACACACACACACACACACACCTTGACCAATAACTTTTTTCATTTCCATAAAGTAAACATTACCTGTTCTGTGGACCATCACCAACTAAATATTCAACAATTCTATCCAGAGCACCTCGTTCTCGGGGGAGAATGGGTCTTGCTAAAGGTGGACCTGGAGGATGAAGACCTATCAAATAAATAAATAATATAAAATGTGTATGTATAACACACATGTAAAATTTAATTTTGTTAGCAAGAACTACCTTTGCTTAACAGACCTTTCAAAATATTTTAACAAAACAGAAAAATATTCTTATAAATCTCTATATAACATTGAAATTTTCATAAAAATATTGCACTATGAAAATGTATTTAATTATGTGCTATATCAGAACCATCACCATAATCAATTAGGAAATAAAACTATGTTTGGTTCTGTACAAACTAATTTTTTAAATGTCCTGACTCTTAAAAATCTATGTAATAATAAATTAGAGGACTTCTATTTCAGGCCATAATTGAGTAACAGGGGTCAGATTTACCTTCCCATCTAAAACAACTAAAAAACAAAAACTAAATAAAGTAACACTCTATTTAATAAGGGCACCGGGTATCAGGCAACGTAGGCTAAACAAGACATGGCCTACAAAACTGCCCCCAGTTTATTGCCTTGAGAGACTTTCCAGGCAGTGGCACAAGGAGGGTAAGCCCAGGTGAAATGTAGCAGTCTCCTAGAGTTGAGAAGACAGGGCCAGGACTCTGTGAGGGCCAAAGCAGCTCAAGTTCATAGGAAAGAATACCAAAGAGGAGAGAAAGCACAGAAAAAAACAAACAAGCAAACAAAAAACCAAACATCTGCAGAGGGTCTACCAGATTATTTAGCAAAGTACTGACTGGTACATGTGAGTACTTGTGAGTATGTGAGAAAACTACCTGAGGATCAAGAAAAAAAACACCCAAAAAGATGAATAAGATGAAAGTAAACAGTGTTCACACAGGGTCAGAAATATTACCTATTTCCATAAGTAAGAGTGGAAAACCTCCTAACACACAGGTCATTGGGTAAAGTAGTCGAAGAGTGTTACACAGTAATTAAAAAACAATCCAGCATTCAATAAGGTAAAATGCACAATGTCTGGAATCAGGTTAAAAATTACCAGAGACACAAATAAGCAGGAAAATACCACCCAAAAAACAAAAATCTACCAATATTAATACAGATATTACAGAAATGATTGAATTAGTAGATAAACATATCAAAACACTTATTGTGACAATATTTTATGTTTGAGAATCTAGAGGAAAGATTCAGCATGCTAAATAGAGACATGAAACACAAAAATAAAAACCCAAATTGAATTTCTACAGACAAAAACAATGACCAGGATGAAAAATCTACAGATGATGTGAACAGCAGTTTAGACATTGCACACGCAGGTGCACACATGCGCGCGCACACACACACACACACACACACACACACACACACACACACACAAATGGTGAACATGAAGACATAACAATAGAAAGCATGCAAAATGACACAGGAAAGACTAAATTTTTTTAAGTGAAAAGACTAAAATTTTTTTAAAGCAAGCTATAGAACAACCCAAGCAGCCTAATATATACATAATTGGAATCAGTAAAAGAGAGAAATAAAGGACAAGAAAAAATATTTAAAGAAATAATGCATATTGTCCAAATTTGACAAATGCTATAAACCCACAATCCAAAAATATCAACAAATAGCAAGTACAAGAAACATAATTTTGCACCAAGAGAGAACATGAGCAAATTGCTTAAAGTCAATGATAAAGAGAAAACTCTTAAAAGCAACCAGAAAAAGATACATTATGTAGAGAAATAGAGAAAATAATGACAGCAGACATCTCATCAGAAAAGAAGCAAACCAGATGATAATGAAACAATATCTTCAAGGTTCTGAAAGAAAAAACTGTCAAATGAAATTTGTATATCCAGTGTAAACATCTTTTTTAAATAAAGGCAAAATGAAGTCTTTTTCAGACAAAAAAACTGAAAGAATTCATTACTAGCAGAACTAAACTACAAGAAATGTTAAAAAGAAGTCCTTCGGGCAGAAGAAAAGTGACAGCAAATAAAAGCAAGATCTATACAGAGGAATAAAGAATTTGAAATAGTTACCATGTGAGTAAATATACTAGACTTTTAATTATTTAAATCAACTTAAAAGATAATTGACTGCATTGTATTAGGTACTACAAGTAATGGAGAAATTATTTAAAGTATATGGGACATGCTTAGGTTATATGCAAATACTATGTCATATTATATAAGGGACTTCAGCATTCATGGAAGTTAGTATCCACTGCAGAGTCCTGTAATCAATCCCCTATGAATATATGTTTTTGTCAAGTGAACAAAAAAAATTTACCAAGATGTGGCATTCTCATTCATCCAAAAAACCCAGGATTCAAAGAAAAACCAAAAGGGATATTACAACATTTTTTGAATTGAAATGAAAATGAAATGTTTTTTGAATGAACATGAAAATATAAAAATATATAAAATTCATGACAAGCAGCTAAAGCAGTACTTAGAGGAAAATTTATAACACTAAACATCTATATTACCAAAGAATGATAGATTTAAAATCCATAACCTCAGCTTCTACACTAACAAGTTAAAAAAGAGCAAACAAAACCACAAGTTGAATAAAAGAATAATAAAGATCAGAGAAAATTAATAAAATAGAAAATACATAACAGATAAAATGGGTTCTTTGAAAACATCAATTAATAAACCTTTAGTCAGACTAATTAGGAAGATACAAAATACTAACATCAGAAATGAGAAAAATGGTATGACTCCAGATTGTAAAGATATTTAAAGGACAATAAGGGAATATTATGAACAACTTATGCCAATAAATTCCACAAGTTGGATAAAATGAGTAAATTCCTTGAAAGACTACCAAACTACCAAAGCTCACTTAAGAAGATAAAAATGACCATTTGACCTGCTATAATTATGTCAAGAATTTTTGCTTCTATGCTCATGGGTGATAATAGTCTATAAGTTTTTTTTTTTTAATTAAAGAAATTTAATTTTTAGTTTTAAAAAAAAAAGACCTTTCCACAAAGAAAACACCAGTCCTAGATGCTTCATCTGGTAAATTCTACCAAGCATTAATATTAGGGAAGAAATAATACCAATTCTACACAAACTCATCCAGAAAATTGAAAAAGGAATACTTACTCATACCATAAGGCCTACACAACTCTGATACCAGACAAAAATATGACAGGAAAATAAATATTACAGACCAATATTAATGAACATTGACATAAACATTTTTAAGAAAATGCTGGTAAATATACATATAAAATAATGCTTCATGACCAAGTGAGATTTATTCTAGGAAAATAAGTTGGTCTAACATTTAAAAAATCAATGTAATGCACTATATGAACAAACATCAAAACAAAGAAAAAAACAAAACCCAATATAAACATCTCAATAGATGCAGAAATAGTATTTAACAATATCCATAATCTATTACTGATAAAAATCTTTAGCTAATTAAGAATAGAGGGGCACTTCAACCTAATAAAAAATATTTATAAAAACAAAAAACCCTAAGGCTAACATCTCACTGAATGGTGAAAGAATAATTGCTTTTTACCTAAGATCAACAAAAAGGCAAGGATGTCTACTTCTCACTTCTATTCAACACTGTACTGAAGGTTCTAACCAGTATATAAGAAAAATAAATAAAAGAAAGCCAGATTGAAAAGGGAGAAGTAGAATTTGTTTTTATTCATTCTCTGACAATGTGATTGTCTATTTAGAATATACTCTATAATCTGTAAAAAAGTAACTAGAAACAATAAATTAGTTTAACAAGGTTATAGGACAAAGATTAATATGCAGAAATCAATTGTACTTCTATATATACTATCAATGAACAGTTGGAAATAGTTAATAAAACAATATCATTTACAATAGCATCAAAAATAAATGTAAATTTATTGAATTAAATGTAAATTAAACAAAAAATGTGCAAAACCTATACACTGAACACTACAAAACACTGCTGAGAGAAATTAATTACCTAAATAAATGAAGAGATATACCGTGTTCATGTAATAAGTTAGAATATATCAGAAGAGACTAGTGAGGAATGGGGAGTGGAAGAATAACATAAAATTTAGTTAACAATTTTTATATTATATAAAAGCAATAACAACAAAAATAAAGAGTTACATATTCAAACTTTATGAACTGTAACTCTATGAACCCTGAAAACTGCAAGACAACTGTTTGCAGGAGATAATATGAACTGAGAAACAACACAGAACAAGGCACTGAGAAGAATGTGATGAATGAAATTAATAAAATGTGACGTTTGTCTTTGTAAAACTCAATAGAAGGAATCTAATAAGGTGAGCAGCAATGGAGGTTTACAAGGTAACCTCATAGAAGGTTTACATGGAGACCTCATAGAAGACTCTGAAACAAAATGGAACCCTGTTGGAACAAGCCTTGCAATATAAGCATACAAGGGTTTGAAAATGGCTGTGATAAAACTTTAAAGCATTCAGAATGGCTCCGTGACAGCAATACTATATTAATATTTTAAAGGAATAAAAAAAAAAAGAGATTTGCTTTGTGAACAATCACAAACTTAAAGAATATTACCATCCATCTAAGAAAGGACAACTGATGTCAAAATTATAGCTATTAACAGATGAAAGTTAGGTTCTGGAACAAGTTCTTAGTCTTACAAATCAAGTACATTTTTTAAGGTTTTATCAGGTAAGTCATTGGTTTACCTGTGCTAACATTCAAATCATTATCATCAAAAACTGAACTTGAATCCAGACATTGTCACCCCTGCTTATCAAATGTTCAACTTAAATAAGCAAACTAAATCAGATTTTGAAAGCATTTAAGCCAAGTTAACTCTTGTCAGAGTATTTTACTTGTATATATTTAAAGTGAACATATCCTCAAAAATAATCTGGATACATAAAACAACAGATATCATAAAAATATCTTAACCTCTTGTACATTAACTACTTTTAAAATAACATATCTTCATATTCATACTGTTGTTCACAATACAAACATCAAAAGCAATCATTGTAGGACTACTGGTCATTTTTATACAGCTTGGCAAATTATCAAGTACCTGCTGTTTATTAATTTTCAAACATATGGGAAGCTTGTGGTAATACACATTAAATTGATTCTCTTCCACAAATATGGTATAATGAAAAAATTAATTATTAATCTTCTCTATAATAAATCACTTAACTCACTCATATTTTTGGCAATGTACAACCTAAACACAGTCTTGCATACAGAAATTAATTTAAAACTTCAGTAAAACATGTTATATTTACATGATGATGAAATTTAGGTTATTGTTCCTTCTAAAGCCCTGTCCTTACATGTGCAATACAGTTTTATTACTATATAAATTCCTAAATTTTTACTTCTTTAAAATCAGTTAGATACACAAACGTATATAATTCATGCATTCTCACCAAAAAATGTTCTTTCATTAAACAGAAGTTAATTTACAATTCATAAGTATCTCAAATCAACCAGATAACAACTGAAAGACTGAAAGTAATTTTCAATCAATATAATCTCTCTCAATATCACAAAATACATAACTGCCTTAGGTGTTGTAGCCATAAGTCAAATTTAAAAGTATTTTTTAAGTAACTACTTTAAAAGTTATAGGATTTGTATACATTTGTAGCCAGCTTTCTTAATTTGTTAATAAAAAATCTTGCATCTAGTCTTCTAAAACTATGCTGCATTTTTTGAAGAAAAATAGAAAAAAATCTACTATCGTAAGTTACATTTTCATTTCTTAGTGATTTTACTACATGAATGCTGATTACATAGTATCAGCCAGTGCCTAGACTCAAAATTATTACAAATTATATATTAATAATTAGTCATGAAATAACAAAGTAATCTAAATTAGAATTAAATAGCCTGAAACAAAATAAATAATTTACGTTTGTATTTAACAGTCTGACATGAAAATCTACATAAAATAATGTGATATGCTAAAGCAGTGGACTTCCATGCTCCAGTCACACTCTAAAAGAAACCACAGACTGAAATAGTCTGTTACACTTCAGAATGGGATCTTCCCCTAGAGATCCACTATAGTGGAAATAGAGAATCCAAGAAAATACTAAAGTTGTATGCCTCAAAAAAAGAAAAAAATAATCAAGTCCACATTAATGAAAGTAATATTGTATACCACAATACAGGAATATTCTTCCTAAAATATGTTAAATGTCATATTTAAAAATATATGTTTCTGGGTTTAACAAAAAATGTGAATACATTCCAAAATGTTCTTTTCTATCCCCGTTTTATATAAATCTGGTGCCATTCTAAAGTTGAATATAAAAAGATATACTATATTGTTGACTACAAAATACGACAAAGTTTTATTGCCATTTAAACAAAGAAGCCATAACAGTTAAATGAGCTCAAGAAATAGGTTTCAGTATCACAAGGTGCCAGCTGTAAAGAGTTATGGCTAATTGAATATGGAACTCCTGCTTAATCAGATAACTGCTCTGCTATTTCCAAATGAAATGCTATTTCCATACCATCTGAAAACAGCCAGTTTTATTGGTAACCAGAGAAAACAATATAAACTGTAAATAACATTAAGTGCTCTGTTTACCCATTCCAGGCACCGAAGTAGCAGGGGATCCAAGATATCCTGGTAACACATTTGACGGTAGGGCTGGAGTAACAGTTCTTTCTGGGGGTCCACCGGGGGCTGAAGTGTCCTTTGGTGCTCCAGGAGATACTGGAACTTGTGGAGGAGAGCCCTGGTTAGGTCCTGCTGGTGTTGGAGAAAGGTTTCTTTGAGCTGCAGTTCGTTGACGAATCTCTGAGAATAATAAATATATGTCAGATTTAATTTCCAATACACCGTATTAGCCAATACCACATGACTTATATTTACTAAAATGTGGGTGCACCAAGACATTATAGGGTCAAAACTGCTTGTAATAAGAAATATATAAAATGTAATCTTAAAAACAGAGAACTCAGCCGGGCTGTGGCTCAGCCTGTAATCACGCACTTTGGGAGGCTAAGGTGAGTGGATTGCCTGAGCCCGCAATATCCCTACAATAAATTTAAAAATTAGCCGGGCATGGTAGCGTGCACCTGTAGTTCCGGCTGCTTGGAAGGCTGAGGCAGAAGAATCACCGGAGCCCAGTAGGTAGAGGCTGCGGTGGCCAGGAGCGTGCCACTGCACTTCAGTCTGGATGACAGAGTGAGACTCCAACTCAAAACAAACAAACAAACAAACAAACAAAAACAGAGAACTCCATTTCTGAACCTACAATTCAACTGCATATGTTTATACAAGACTTGATCTAAGTAAGGTTAATTGATACCACTTTTCAAAATAAATTCAATAAATGTTTCTTTACAGGAATCTTCCCCTTTTTTTGAGTCAGAGTCTCACTCTGTCACACAGGTTGGAGTGCAGTGGCATGCTCACAGCCACTGCAGCCTCGATCTGCTGGGCCTAAGCGATCTTTCTGCCTCAGCCTTCCAAGTAGCTGGAACTACAGGTGTATGCCACCACACCAGCTAATTTTTTGATTTATTGTAGAGACGCTATCTCGCCATGTTGCCCAGGCTGGTCTCGAACCCGTGTGCTCAGGCAATCTTCTCACCTCCTCCTCCAAAATGCTGGGATTACAGACATGAGCCACCACGCTCATAAAGAAAGTTTATCAGAATTAATGAAAACTTCAAACACCAGATGTGTTTTCCAAGATTAAAAAGTTGATAAATTTAAAAAATAAGAAAACTGTATTCTGAAATTATCAAAGTAAATAATCTGAAAAGTGATAGAGATGCTGAAAAAGTATTCTTTACCATTAGGTGCTATTCCTATATTCCTTATGGCATTGCTATCTTTTTGGAAAACTTATTTTGGCCCAAACATTCAATAGAGGAAAACTATTCCATATAAACAATGTTTCATCATAAATAGATCTTAGCTTGAGTTACAGAAATTACAAGATTCTCTATAACAGGGGTCGTCGGCAAATGTGCTAAATTCCAGGCTACTGCCTGCTCTTGTAGTTTTATAGTCCTGCTCTTTTGCTTATATATTTGGCTGTTTTAGAGGAGTTGAGTAGTTGCAACAGAGGCCATATGGCTCTGAAAGACATTTATTATATTTATTATCTGGCCTTTACAGAAAAAGTTACTCAACCGATACTCAACATAAAATTAAATTCTATCATTCCCCATTCTCACCAATATTTAACTTTATTTTACTTGAATGTCAGTGGTAAGATCTCAAATAAAAGAGCACTTATAACTTTTCAATTTTACATATTATGTTAAATTATCACAAATCCTGAATTAATGGACAGAAACCAAAGAAGTTATACTTAAATTGGCGTAAATAGTAAAAATACATACTTTAAAAGCAAAACACTTGGATTCGATTTGACAGTCAAAGATTTTCATGAAAATTCATTACAGTTGAACATATAACTCTAACATCAGATCTCATTTTACCACAATCTAGTCTACTAGCTAAGGATCCAGGTCCTGTAGTCAGAAAGGTTTGGTTGGAATCCTGGCTCTGACTATAGGACCTCAGATGGGTTACTTAACTTGGATAAGCCTCTTGTTATTTTATCTCTAATATTAGAATAATAATATTCTTAATTCATATAATTGTTATGAGTATTAAATAAGATAATGTCTATAAGTTGAGAGTTCTGAACTCTCATTTACTGAATACTTATTATTTTAGATAACAATGTTTTTGTGCAACAAAGTACTTTCAAATGCTTTAACCATAATTACTGGGATCAACTTATTTTCCACTGGTTTATAATTAACTCTCTAACCAGGTCACTGCAAGAATAAATAACAAGCACATCATCATTATATAAATGGAACCATCTTTATATTGTGCTACTTTCCAAGCAGTGTATATAGAAAATTTCAGTTATTACCTGAACTAATCATATCCTAACATCTCCTGCAAATTAGTTGGTCGTTTAATTATGTTTTACTATAAAGAACATCTTAATAGGAGACTATGCATTAGAAAGCTGTTAAATGCTGCAAAGGGTACTGAGATCAATAAAATAATATTAAGATTTGTTACTTTAAATTGCTAATTTTAAAAATAAGGTATCAAATACTGCAAATCATTTTTTAGCCAATTTTCAGGTAAAGCATAACTCAAAAAGTAGCATTTTCTTCCAGATAAATAAAAGTTTAGCATCTATTAGACTATATTAAAAGTAGCTGATATCCTTCTACTTCTTGAACAATAACTTGAGACTACTTCCTCTGAATGTACATTTCCCCTGTTAACCTTCCATCAGAGATTGGCTAAGGGGTACAAAAATACAGTTAAGATGGAGGGAATATGATCTAGTGTTTGATAGTACAGTAGGGTTGCTATAGTTAACAATAATATACTGTATCATTTAAAATAACTAGAAGAGAAAAACTAGAATTTTCCCAACATAAAGAAAAGATATATGTTTGAGGTGATGAATATTCCAATTAACCTGATTTGATCATTAAACTTTGTGTGCAAGTATCAAAATTCACATATACCCCAAAAATGTGTACAACTATTTTGCATCAATTAAAAAATAAAAGAAATAGATTCCAAATGAGATTTTTAACTACTTTATTACAGGAAACAAAAGAAAGAAAACAAAGTTTAAGACAAAGATAAAAACGCATAGTTGTGCAAAGCAGACACCCGAATTAAACAATCTTAGTTTAAGCTCCATCCTGTTTACTAAGTGTGCATGCAGCCTTTTCCAAGTTGATGACATCTCTCAGTTCAGTTTTCCCATGAGAATACTTACGTCTTATGGTTGATGTAAAGATTAAATGAGAAAATCAAGACAAAGACCTTACCCAGAGCACATGAAAAGTACTGAAGAGGCAATAGCTACTAACTGAAATAGTGCATATCTAATGGTTCCAGCAACTACAATAAATCAAAAACTAAACAACCTAGAATTTCTAAAGCAATTATTAATATTTGAAATAAAAAATATTAACTTACATGTTAAATGCTTTGCTAAAATTATTTGTGTACTAGATATTAATTTATACATTAACTGTTTCCCTAAAATTATTTGTGAACATGTTTAAATGTGTAAATTCACAATTTAAATAAAAACTTAAATGAATAACACTAGCTTGCTATTAAATAATTTGGGGATAAATGCCCTACAATACAAATAATCATCCCTTAATTTATCAGATTTTCTGATTCTTTTTATACTGCTAGAAATTTTTGTCTTTGTTCTGATATTAAGCTGGAGTGGGAAGAATACCAAACAATGGTTAAAAAGCTTAGATTTTCATCCTAGATGATACCGCTAGTTCCTTATGTGAACTAAAAACCCACTAGGCTTAAATTTCCTTAAAATGAGAGTGTTGGTAGAACTACAGAGGCAGTAATCACATTTGCTTTAGCACTGGTCAAAGGCTTTCTGAACTATGGTGCCCAGTCCTAAGACTTACTACAAAAAAAATTCAATAACTAGAATTTTAGTAATAGGGAGGAAATCTTTAAGACTATAAATGATTCATCATATACAGATGTGGAAACTTAAATTAAGGATGAATTTGGTATTTTATGATTGTGATTATTAGATGTACTATACTTAGGGCATGGGGATATATCTTCAGGAGAGTTTCTATTGTCTCCAGGTCTGTATTGTTAGCATTTATACAAACATAATTCCTTTAAATCAAAATAATAAAGATATCTCTTCCTTTTACTTTCAAATTTTTCTAAAGTCCATATTTGCTGTATTTTCTCTTCATATTCTACTCATACTAAGTTCCATCAAACTCAGCTTCTATCCAATTTATTTACTAAAACTGTTCTTTCAATAGGTTAATATCTTTTTTATTAACAAAAGTAACTCTGTAACCTCTTCCTTTCTCATAAAGGCAAAGCTTTTTGAAAAACAAACAAAAATTTCTCTAGATTTCTACTCAAGGAGGCTATTGTCCTCCTTTTTAGCTATCACAGTATTACTCACCATTGAAAGTATCATTGCTTTGGTCACCCAGAAACTTATAACACTACTACTGTTATCATTGCTATTCTTTATCAAATTCTTATTATTTGCTAGAAACTACACGAGGCATTTTACATGAGTTTACTGTCATCAAAAGTTATATCAATCCTTTGGAATAAAGTTTTCAAAGGAAGAACCAAAGATCAAAGATTAAATAACTTGCTAAAATTCTCACAGTAAAGTAAGAGATGGAGTCAGGATTCAAATTCTAGTTTGTACGACAAAAATGCCCATACTCTCTGTGTTACACAGCCTAAAAAATTCAATGGCCTCGTTTCAGTCTTCTACTTACTTGACCCTTTGCAGAACAGGACAGTAGGATGCCACCTTAAACTACACTTCTACTTTCTAGCTATCGGTCTAGTCTAGTTCTGCTTTTAACTCTAATCATCTTTCTATCTTTTTCCTGTGCTCCTCTTTCTTCCTTCACCCTTAAATGTTAATATTCCCTGAGGTTCTACCATAGGCCCTCTTGCTCTATTTTCTCACTGGACAGTTTCACTCAATCTCACAGTTTCAATAATAATTACCTATGCTTCTCAATTATTCCTAATCTGTACCTATAACCTCAATCTTTCTCCTGAAGTCCACATTAAATAATCAACTACCATGAATCTCATCACCTTGATGTAATTTCCACTCAAACAGATCCAAAAGCAAATTCATGGTATTCTACACAAACTAATATTCCAATTCTTATGTTTTTACCTTGCTTAATACATTAACACCTAAGCAGTTATACAAGCCAAAAACCTAGGTGATATCTTGATTCTTCCTCCTACCTCAA